TAAATGCGTCTCAATTTGTTGAATAGCTTTCATTAGTTTACAGGGTTCTGAATGGTTGGTTGACAATTTTGTCCTGTTTTACATTTTGTCAAGTTGCTTTTAGGGTAGAGGATTTGTAGAGATTCACTCAGCCACTGAAAAAAATCATTATACTGATGTTTAAACAATGTACTGATTCTTTTTTTTTTTTTTATTCCTCTCCCGAGGATATTTTCTCAAATATCTTCAGATAGAGTGAGAGGAGGGGAGAGAGAGGGAGAGAGAGAGAGAAACATCGATTTGAGAGGGACGCATTGACTGGTTGCCTCCCGCACAACCCTGACCAGAGCTGGGGACAAACCGCAACTGAGGTACATGCCCTTGGCCAGAATCGAATCAGCAACTCTTTGGTCCATGGGCTGATACTCTAACTGCTGAGCCAAACTGGCTAGGGCCTGATTCTTTAAGTTAGAGACAACTATTCCTTTCACCTCACTGCATATGTACCAACCTGATGCATTGTTTAAAAATCATCAAAGTTAAATAAATTTTTAGAAGTAAAAATGGAAGAAAAATAAAACAAAATATTTTAAAAACCCAAATGCAATGAACCAATTTGGAATCTCAGATTTAAAATAATAATTTATTGAAAAATAAGGAATACAGAAAGCAGGAGATTGTTTTGTTTTGTTTAAATATGTTCTTATTGATTTTTTTAGAGAGAGAGGAAGGGGGAGAGAGATAGAAACACTGATGTGAGAAAGAAACACCGATCACTGCCTCTTGCAAACCCCCTTACTGGGGATCGAGCCCGCAACCTAGGGATGTGCCTCAACCAGGAATCGAATTGGGATCTCTCAGTCCATGGGATGACGCTCAATCCACTAGCCACAGTGGCCAGGCACCAGATTATTTGTACTGTTTTTTTTAATCCTCACCCAAGGATATTTTTCCATTTACCTTCAGATAGAGTGGGAAGGAGAGGGAGAGAGAGAGAAACATTGATGTGAGAGAGACACATCAACGAGTTCCCTCCTACCCGACCCCCACCAGGGCTGGGGACAAACTGCAACCGAGGTATATGCCTTTGACCGGAAGCAAATCCTCTACTCTTTGGTCTGTGGGTCGATGCTCTAAACATTGAGCCAAACCGGCCAGGGCCAGATTAGTTGTTTGTTTGTTTTTATATCCTCACCTGAGGACATTTTCCCATTTTTTGTTCAGATAGAGTGGGAGGGAGAGAGAGAAACATTGATGTGAAAGGGACACATCGAGTGGCTGGCACTGGCACAACCCAACCAGAGCCAGGGACAAACTGCAACCGAAGTACATGCCCTCAGTGGGAACAGAACCCGGGTCTCTCTGGACCACAGGCCAACGCTCTAACCACTGAGCCAAAGCGGCCAAGGCCAGATTAGTTGTTTTTTTTTATCCTCACCCGAGGACATTTTTCCATTTTTTGTTCAGGTAGAGTGGGAGAGAGAGAGAGAGGAACAGAGAGAGAGAAACATCGATGTGAAGGGACACATCGAGTGGCTGCCACCCGCACAACCGACCAGGGCCGGGGACAAACTGCAACCGAGGTACGTGCCCTTAGCGGGAACCAAACCCGGGTCTCTCAGGACCGCAGGCCAACGCTCTAACCGCTGAGCCAAACCGGCCAGGGCCAGATTAGTTGTTTTTAATGAAAAAAGTCCTAGACTTGATTCTGCCACTTCTATGTAATTTTAGGTAAATTCATCAACATTTGTGAACTTCAGTTTCCTCTTTTACAAAATAAGATGACACTAATTTCACGCAGCTGTTCTCAGGACTGGATGAAATAATACAAGTGGAAGTATTTTGCAAAGAACAAAGTTCTATGAAAATATAAGATTATGCCCTGGCCAGTTTGGCCCAGTGGTTAGAGCATCAGCCTGTGGTCCAGAGAGACCCGGGTTCAGTTCCCACTAAGGACACATGCCTCGGTTGCAGTTTGTCCCCGGCCCTGGTTGGGTTGTATGTGCGGGAGGCAGCCACTCAATGTGTCCCTTTCATGTCAATGTTTCTCTCTCTCTCTCTCTCCCACTCTATCTGAACAATAAATGAAAAAATGTCCTCAGGTGAGGATTAAAAAAATATATATATATATATATATGTATATATATATAAAAATATAAAAATATATTTATAAAAATATAAAAAATTAGCCCTGGATGGTTTGCTCAGTGTTGAGCACGTTGGCCCTCGGACGGAAAGATCAAAGGTTCAATTCTCGGTCAAGGGAGCCTACCTGGGTTGCAGGTTTGATCCCCATTCCCTGTCGGGGTAGTGCGGGAGGCAGCCAATTGACGTGTCTCACATTGATGTTTCTCTCTCCCTCCCTCCCTCCCTCCCTTCCACTCTATCTAAATAATCAATGGAAAAATATCTTTGGGTGAGGATTAACAAAAAAATCCAGATTATATCAACATTATATTTTTAAATAGAGATGCTATTAGCATTTCTGAAATAATTAAGTCAAAAAATATACGTAGTTTACATTCTCAATATCTATACGTTCTTAATATCTATGCTGTCATATTGACTTTAGAAGATTAGTATAACATGAAATTAGACTGTAATATGGTAAGAAAAAAAGCTACTGCAGCTATATAAAACCCTTTAAGTATTTCCTTATTATCATCTCATTTGTACATTTTATTTTTAAGTTTTATTTTGATAGCTAAAAATCAGATAAAATCAAGGCCATATTGCCAACATCTAAAAACTATAAACAAGAAATGAGGCTTTTTTAAAAAATCCTCACCTGAGGACATTTTTGCATTTATCTTCAGATAGAATGGATGGGAAGGAGGGAGGAAGAGAGAGAGAGAAACATCAATGCAAGAGAGGCACATCAATTGGTTGCCACCCATACAACCCAAACAGGGGCCGGGGACGAACTGCAACCGTGGTACATGCCACTACCAGGAACCGAACCTGGGACTCTCAGGTCCGTGGGCTGATGCTCTCACCGCTGAGTAATCTGGCCAGGGCAAGAAATGAGTCTTTTGAGTATGAAAACTGAAAAGACTACATGAGACTAGAGTTTATATAAAAAGATTTTTATAAATGAATTTTGTATAACCTTCTTTAAGAAATAACCATCTTTGCCCTGACTTGTGTGGCTCAGTTGACTGGAGCATCGTCCCGTACACCGAAACCTAAAGGTGGTGGGTTCAATTCCTAGTCAGGGCATGTACCCAGGTTTTAGGTTCAATATCTGGCTGGGGCACATACAGAAGACAATCAATCAATGTTTCTCTCTCATATCAATATTCCTCTCTCCCTTCCTCTCTTTAAAATCAATTTTTTTTTTTATCCTCACCCGAGGACATTTTTTTTTCCCATTTTTTGTTCAGGTAGAGTGGGAGGGAGAGAGAGGAACAGAGAGAGAGAGAGAAACATCGATGTGAAAGAAACACATCGAGTGGCTGCCACCCGCACAACCGACCAGGGCCAGGGACAAACTGCAACCGAGGTATGCGCCCTTAGCGGGAACCGAACCCGGGTCTCTCAGGACCGCAGGTTGACGCTCTAACCGCTGAGACAAACCGGCCAGGGCTAAAATCAATTTTTTAAAAAAGAAATAACCATTTTTAAAATCCAGTTTAAAAAGTTAGAAAATATACTTGTTACTTCAACTAATCTGAATCTCAATTGGCATTGCCTGTTTAAATGTTGAACAAGTAATCCTGTTCTCAGGTATTCCAAACAACTCTATTTCAGTAAACTCTTTTATCAAGTAGTCCAAAGCCAGAAGAAACTAGTGAAAAATTTGTGTGCACACTGCTTTTAAGAAAAAAATGAGTGACAAGCTATATATTCAGTGTTTATTCTAAAAGCAAAGTTGAAATGCAGTCCTCTTTCTGAAACTTTCTATACATTAATATAATATAGTAGTAATTCTAAAGCAATGACAGATACTCAAAGTATTAAAAATTGAGTTATAAATATAAAAATGTGCAGGCCTGTCAATTCAGGAATTTTACCTCAAGTAATTTTGCCTAAATAAACCCCTAACCAAAGGCATACAGATTTTATTACTAAATTCTTCCATAAACTTAAAGAAAAACAGAGATAGCCCTGGCTAGTTTGCTCAGTGGTTAGAGCATTGGCCCGAGGATTGGAGAGTCCAGGATTCAGTTCCCACTGGGGGCATGTACCTCAGTTGCAGTTTGTCCCCGGGCCTGGTTGGAGTTGTATGGGTGGCAACCACTCGATGTGTCTCTTTCACACTGATCTCTCTCTCTCTCTCTCTCTTCCTCCTTCTCTCCCTCGTTCTATCTGAAGATAAGTACAAAAATGTCCTCAGGTGAGGATAAAAAAATTTTTTTTTAAATTAAATTTAGTACTTAGTGGAAGTTGAATGTGAAATAGAATTTGATTTTGAAATTAATTCAATCTCTTGGTTAGAAAATTACTTTAAAATATTTCAGTATGTAACTGTTTTGGAGAAACAAGGCATGCCATGCACCAAAAGGTTGCCTGTTGGATTCCCGGTCAGGGCACATGCCCAGGTTGTGGGCTCCATCCTCAGTAGGGGGTGTGCAGGAGGCAGCCTATCGATGTTTCTCTCTCACACTAATGTTTCTCTCTCTCTTCCTCCTCTTACTTCCTCTCTCTCTTAAAAAAATCAGCCCGACCGGTGTGGTTCAGTGGACTGAGCGTTGTCTCATGGACTGAGAGATCCTGGTTCAATTCCTGTTCAGGGAATATGCCCAGGTTTCGGGCTCAATCCCCAGTAGGGGGCATGCAGGAGGCAGCCAATTGATGTTTCTCTTTCACATCAATGTTGCTATCCCTCTTTCCCTTCCATTCTCTCTGAAAAATCAATAAAAACACATTTAATAAAAATTTTCAATATGTAACTGTTTTGGAGAAGTCACTGTAATGACTACATTAAAATGGGGCATGCTGTTCCTTAGTAATGATAGATTTCAGGTATTAGCAATTTTAACATATAACGGAAAATACACAGACTGAAATTACAAACTTACCTAATAATTTGTCCTTCTTCTTCTGGAGTAGCTGGTCTTAACCCCAGAACTATGTGACATACCTAAAGAAAAGTGGTAAATTTCACTGACTGGTGCTAATGACTAGGTTGTATTTTTCACATCCTCTGCAGAGCTTTCGATTAGTGAATTATCAACAAGTCACTTGAGAAAATTTAAGTTTTATAGTTTAGCTATTTCTTTTTCTTTTAAATTGATTTTTAGAGAGAAAGGAAGGGAGAGGTAGGGGGAGAAAGATAGAGAGAAACATCGATGTGAGAGGAAAACATTGATCAGCTGCCCCCTGAAAACTTCCTATCGGGAATGGAGCACGAAATCTGGGCATGTACCCTGACTGAGAATCAAACCAGCAACCTTTTGACTGATAATCAAACCAGCAACCTTTCTGTGCATGGGATGAAGCCCAACCCAGTGAACCACAGCTGGTGCACCATAAATTATTTTTTTTAATTTGGAGCAAAATAACTCCATTAACTAGGAAAATAGTTAAAATCTAGCAAGCTCTATGACTTCTTTTTCACTTCTGGCAGCTCCCCCGCCTTCTCCCTCAATCTTTCTTCGACCTTCTAAAGAATAAAAAAATAATAATAAATAAAAATAGCCCTGGCTGGTTTTGCTCAGTGGTTAGAGCAACAGCCCTTGGACCAAAGAGTCATGGGTTCGATTCCAGTCAAGGGCACATACCTCGATCGTACTTTGATCCTTGGCCCTGGCTGGGGTTGTGCAAGAAGCAACCAAGCATTGTGTCTCTCTCACATTGATGTTTCTCTCTCTCTCTCCCTTCCTCCCACTCTTATCTGAAAATCAATGGAAAAATATCCTCGGGTGAAGATTAAAAAATAAAAATAAAATAAAAATAAAAATTAAGAGGCAGCCTTGAAGCTAAGATAATCTCCTAACTAAAATGACTATATACTTGAAAAATTATAGTTGCCTACTTATGATCCATCTCTCTGTTCACACTACCTCACTTGTTAGGAAGGGCCTTTAAAAAAAACAACAGTGATGAAAAAGCAAATTATGATGCTTTTATGATTCTCTGTAAGTCTACATGCTTCTCTATCATGAGTTGTGATAAGATAAATAAACATAATCACCTATATTCTGCTTTCTGATCATCAGATGATTTTGAGAAGCTTCAACAGACTTTTGTGCTCTATCTTACCATCTTTCAGGTAGTATACAGGAAAATGTAGTTCTATTTATCACATATGGTTTTGCAGTCGAGTTGCACTAACTACTACATAATGGAAAAGATACAGAATTACTGCTACTACTACCCTCTGTACATACCTGAAAAAGGAGATTCAAAAATTCATTGGCAAGAACATTTTTCACACTCCAGATCTGATAGTCTTCTAGAGTAAGATGGCCCATCTGAAAGAGAAACAATATTCAAAAAGATCTCATGCTAAGAATGTCATTTTTATAGCATTTGAATAAAATCTGGTTTATTAAACTTATATTGGTCATTTGTCTGAAAACAAACCAATAACTTAAACTAGACTCATCTACTTTAATGTGTTCATCTGACAAGTAAGCCAGCTAGGATAAGTTTAGAAGTAACAAACTGGCTGGTTTGGCTCAGTGGTTTTGCGTTGGCTGGCAGACCGAAGGGTCTCAGATTAGATCCCAGCCCTAGCTGAGACTCTGTGGGGGGCAACCAATCGATGTGTATCTCTCACATCAATTTTTCTCTCTCTTTTCCTCCCTCCCTTCCACTCTACATAAATATCAACAGAAAAATATCCTCAGATGAGGATTAACAAAAAAATAAATAAATAAAATAGAAGTAACAAAATTCTGTTGAAGCAGTCAATGGTAATGAGGACAATTTATCATCAACAATCTTATTCCTTCAAACAAGACCTGGAAAATAATTCACAGTATCTTCTGCTTCAAGGATTACTTGTAGAAAACCATAAAAAGCCCTGGATAGGGAAAATGAAGTATTCACTAATTTTTTTTTTTTAATGGAATGGGTTTATTTTATTTTACTCTAATGCAAAACCCAAGATTCCACTAAAGCACATACACAAATACACTAAAAGGTCATGAAAAAATGGTGTGGGACATGCAGGACATGATACACAAACTGGAGAGTCAGGTTATTTCCTTTATAACTTGACAGTGCATTTTCGCCGAGGAACACATTTAAAATAATACTGCAGAACTGAACTGAAATGTGACACAAACAGGACAACTTCCAGGCATGCCTTCAAGCACCTCCTTTAGGACTTGCAATCTCTAGAATTCAGTGTGGGTAGGATTACAATTCTCTGGAAGAATAAAAAGTTCACACTTTTGAAATTTCAGAGAATTTTAAGGAGAAAACACAGTGGGCTCATTTCTCTTCGCCTCCAGGGAGAAATCTGATGCTTTATTCAAATCTGAGTTAAGCTTCTAATTTAAATCCCAACTCAACCTTGTGGTCTCCAGCACTGAAGTTCTTTCCATAGACTAAAGCTGACAGTGTCAGTTTGACCCCTGGTCAAAGAGTCTTAGTATAATCTAGTCCAAGCTGGCTGGCATTATTTACTTTAGCAGGTAAATTCTACAACTCAACCTGTATAAAGCAACAATGCCAAAAAGGATGTTGCTACTCTCCAAGCAAAGTTTATTGACATTTCAATCTTCTCGTCAGCCTTCTGGTAGATAGACCCTCTAAATTAGTGCCATTATTCACATGAGTGTGCAGCAGGAAGTCTGCAGCCTTGTAATCCACAGTGAAATTCTTCTGTGATAGTTGGATTTGGCTGTATAAAAACTCATCTGATAGCCAGCAACCCAACCTTCAAAGGCTAACACAGCCCAGCCATAGATGGTTGGGCCAGAAAAATATGTATCAACATTACTGCCAAGACCGAAACAATTTCGTTTATAGGAGGCCTTCAATTTCCCACTCTTCTTTCCTGTGTTAGGTACAAATATTGTATCACGAATCTCAACCCTTCAGCCTACTTATTCTCCAAAGAGATTTCTGTTCCAAGAATATTGTCTGTGTTCCATTTTGGGGTGAAAGTAAGTTCAATTACAGACTTTTTATTTGGTCTCTACGTTGCCTGATGCTTTCCCTGTATCAGTGTAAGCATGACCAGGAGCAGAAAATTCCACTCCACATGACTTGGTTCTCAGATCTCTTTTGACCATGTCAAACTGATATCCTTTGTTGAAGACACCCTTGGCAACCTTTCCTAGGTCACAGTAAGTTGGTGTGTTACATATACCTCCACCCAGAGAGCAGGTCTCCAGTCTGCCAGACCAACACCGTTTTCACCTGTGTGGCCTCACTCCCCTACCCCCAACTGTCTGGCTCTGTGTGGGTGGTAGGGCTCAGCCTGCATGAGGCCTGGGTGAGGTTGTTTGACAGGAGGCCTATTCGCTAATTCTGAAAGCAAAAATCAGACTCTCCAGATTATGCCCTTTCATCCTAACAATATTCTAAGACCTTCTCAGAAATATCTAGCAATATTATCAGACTTCGTAGAGATTTAATATTTGAATTACATTTCTCTAAAATATAGTTTAACATTACATTTATGTAAGTTGAATAAAGCAACATTTTTGTGTTGCCAAAGAGCACCAAAAATTACACCATATAGAAGACAATATATACTTTTTCTTGCAGGCAAAAAATAACCCAATGTCTTCATGTATTCAACAATTACCTAATGATCCTTGATAAATAATATTAAAAATAAATAATACTTTTAGCTTTTATTATTTAATGGTATTAATATTCTCTTTTCACTACATAATAACCACATATAATAAGAAAAAATTTTAAAGCACTGTAAATATCATTACTGGCTTTCAGGATACAAATTCTATTATGTTAATACCAATCTAAAGATACAAAATAATGAGCCCTGGCCATTTGGCTCAGCGGTTAAAGTGTTGGCCCGTGGACCAGAGAGTCCTGGGTTCAGTTTCCGCTAAGGAAACGTACCTTGGTTGCAGTTTGTCCCCGGCCCTAGTTGGGGTTGTGTGGGTGGCAACCACTCGATGTCTCTCTCTCACATTGATGTTTCTTTCTCTCTCTCCTTCCTGTTCTATCTGAAGATAAATGCATAAAAGTGTCCTCGGATGCCCTGGCCAGTTTGGCTCAGCGGTTGGAGCATTGGCCTGTGGACCAGAGAGTCCCAGGTTCGGTTCCCGCTAGGGGCACGTACCAAAAAAAAAAAAAAAAAAAAGTGTCCTTGGGTGAGGATAAAAATAAATAAATAAAGGTACAAAATAATTGGTAATATAGGCACAAGTGGATATGGTTATTAGCTTTGGTTGAATGGTCAAAGTTCTATTCTAAACTGCTAACCATTTCATTATCATGGTTACATAGAGTTGGGGCAGCTAAATTATCTTTTTAATGTTCACAGCAGAGCCAAAAGTAGCAACTCCATCTTACATAAAAATAGATAGCAATAATACCTACATATTTATTAAACACTCAGAAAAAAGGTGTTAGAAATTGTATTTCTACATAGGCATTTTCTAACAGAAAGTTTCCCGGGTTTTTTTTGTTCCTATACATTCCAAATAGAAGTAGGTACCATAGTTTTGGCAAAAAGAAGTGCATGAAAGCAGAAGGATGCCTGAAATGTTAAACAAAGCTCAAGCCCTACAATTCATTTCTACTAACTTTCTATTGAGCATCAGTTAATAAAACTATAATGATACCTTCTGGAATTGTGATGGAAAAAAAACACTGATGTGACTTATTTTTTCTAAACCTTTATAACCAATCTGCTACTTGGTACATGTCAATGTTTGAGTGGAAAGGCTCAAATTAACTCAAATATGCCTCACAGTATACAGATTATTTTCAATTTCACAAGGACACATAGACATCACAGTGATGCAAGCTACAGGAGTAAACCTATGATAGGTCTTACTAATAAATGTTGTCAAACTAAAACAGAGGAATTATTTTTTGTAAAGTACCTGCTTATTCTGGCTAGTATTAAGAAACTCAGGATAGGGCATTACCAATACTATTTAAACAACAACAAAAAATTATTTTAGGAATATATGCTCCACCCAGATCAATATTTATTTATTTATTTTTTATCCTCACCAGAGGACATTTTTGCATCCATTCTCAGAGTGGGAGGGAGAGAGAAAGGAAGAGAAAGAGGGAGAGAAACATCGATGTGAGAGAGACACATCAACTTGCTGCCACCTACACGACCCCAATCCGGGCCAGGGACAAACTACAACTGAGTACGTGCCCGTAGCAGGAACCGAACCCGGGTCTCTCTGGTCCGCAGGCCAACACTCTAACCACTGAGCAAAACCAGCCAGGGCACCAGATTAATATTTAAAAAATCATTATTCTAGCCCTGGCTGGTCTTGCACAGTGGTTAGAGTATTGGCCCACAGACCAAAGAGTCTCGGGTTCGATTCCTGTCAAGGGCACATACTTCAGTTGCAGTTCGGTCCCTGGCCCTGGCCCTGGCCCGGGTCATGTGGGAGGCAACCAATCATGTGTCTCTCTCATGTGAATGTTTCTCTCTCTCCCTCTCTCCCTTCCTCCCACTCTGTCTGAGGATAAACAAAAAAATATCCTTGGCTCTCTCTCCCTTCCTCCCACTCTGTCTGAGGATAAATGGAAAAATATCCTCAGCTGAGAATTAAAAAAAAAATCATTATTCTAATACTTATTGCCATTTGTTAGCTTTGCCTCTGTCCCTGAACTTCATATAAATGGAATGGTACAGTATGTATTATTTTTTGTGTGGCTTCTTCTGTTCAATATAAGTTTAGCCTTACCATAACTTATTTAAATGGGAGAAATCATTATTATAAACTACAAATGACAAGGGCTGTGTCTACTTCATTTTTATAAAATGCCTAGCTTATAACAAATGTTTTTTATACATAAAACACATGGAATGGAGGTATTTAGAGTCAACCTGGAGGTACTGTAACCATAAATCCAAATAAGCACATGGTGGGGATAATGCAGAACAGATTCAAATATTATGTGCTATATATCCCAATTTAGAGTACATGGTATTTTTAGAAAAGGATAAATTAGTCCTAGGTAGACTCACCTTTGTGGTGTCATGTGCACTCAATATGCCTTCTACAATGTCAGATAGATCCATATGTAATTCCTTTAAAAACAGAAATTCAAAGAATTAGAAAAGAGTTGATATTATTCAGTGGCCAAATTATACTGTATTTTGATCAAGTATTTTTTTTTTCCATAAATAGATTTATTTTTAAAAAATTAAGACAATTATCCTCTAGTTTTATTCTTACTTTATACAATGAATCCAGTTTATTAAAATTTCTAAGGCAAGCCCTGGCCAGTTTGGCTCAGCAGTTAGAGCATCGGCCTGCGGTCCAGAGAGATCTGGGTTCGGTTCCCGCTAGGGGCATGTACTTTGGTTGCAGTTTGTCCCCGGCCCTGGTTGGGTTGTGTGGGAGGCAGCCACTCGATATGTCCCTTTCACATCGATATTTCTCTCTCTCTCTCTTCCTCTCTCTCCCTCCCACTCTATCTGAATAAAAAATGGAAAAATATTCTCAGGTGAGGATAAAAAAAAATTTCTAAGGCAAATTCTCTATCCAATTTTGCATTGTTGGTTATGAATATTTTGAGTAGCATAATATAGCACTAGCGGTAACAATAAATCCTTCTTACTCTTGCACTTTTAAAAAATTCTCCACTCCACTTTCCTATTGGAAGTTTACATGCAATAAAATGTTTAAAATCAGTCTGGCCAATGTGGCTCAGTGGTTGAGCGTTGACCCATACACCAAGAGGTTGCCAGTTTGATTCCTGGTCAGGACACATGCCCAAGTTGTGGGCCCGATCCCCAGTGTGGGGCATACAGGAGGAGGCTGATCGATGTTCTCTCTCATCAATGTTCATATCTCTCTCTCTAAAATCAATAAAGAAAATGAATGAATGAATGAATGAATGAATGAATGAATGAATGAATAGATAAATAGTTTAAAATCAGAACTTACTGGGATATCATCAGTGCGGTTGTCCTTCCAGACTTCTAAAAGTGCAACCACCATGTTTCTCAGTTCAACCCTGGAGAGAACTCCATCACGATCAACATCAAACACCTTGAAGCAAACTAAAAAAAGAAAGAAACTCTGTGGAGGGATAGTACTTTTATATTCTGAAATATAATACATTTTACTAGAAGCTGCCCTAGTAAAATTACTCAGTTTCTCAAGCAAGTATAGTCTGGATTAAGTTCTCATCTGGAGCAGACAGAAATATGTCATTCAAGTCCTCTGAACATTTAGGACTAACTGCACACTTCATAAATCTCTCTGTCTCTCTCAAATTTGAAAACAAGTAAAAGATAAAAGGGGGCCAATAAATATTACAATACCTCACAGGTTTTGAAGAGGTTATTCAAGCCCTTAAATTAATTTCTAATATTTAAAACTGATCAATGAATAGTTGATTCTTCTAATGCTGAAAATATTCCATCTACTTTAAGAATCAATAACAACAAGCTGGTATTAAGAAAATCTACTTCCATTTTGCCTCTCCAATAAAACCAATGCACAATCAATGTTTTGCCAGAGAACAATTTCAATTCTTCAATGAAGTTTATATACAACATGCTAAGACTTGGAAATATAAGCACTTTGCTAATTACCTCTAAATAATCACTCTAGTTTGTTAACTTTCATTAGTCCATAATTAGTCCATTTAAAAAAATTTTAAGTCCATAATTAAGATCAAGTGAGAAGCAAAAATTTCAGCCTCTTTATTTAAAATTAGAACTTTTATGGAAACAAATAATCTGTCCTAAATCTAGGTTTCACTAATGATAATCATTATGGGAAAAAATAAATCTGAATGTATAAGATTAAATAATAATCTATTTTATACACCCCCAAAATAATTATGCTGTTAAAGTGAATGCATCACAGTACAGTATTATTAAAGGTCAAAATATTCAAATAGTACACTCAAAACAGACAACATTTATGAGCTGTATTTTAGAAAGACAGAGAGGTAACAACTAGTAAATATATCAGAATTAGGTACCAGTTAAATGTAAACTGCTACATTATCTCAAATATATTTAAGATTAAATAATGTAATATACTGATGGTTATAAATTATGCTATAACATTTTAGCTAGATTTAAAAGACCAATGTAGTATTTAATAAAATTGTTTTGATCATAAAATTCACTTTGCTAATAAAATATTAATATATATAAGATACAGAAAATGAGTTGTACTTCCAATTAAGCAAGGCACTTAATTCTCTATCTAGACTACCAGAAAATATTTTCTAAATGTTTAATATTTTCAAATATATTATGGCTGAAGTAGTTTATCATAAACTGTAAATTCATCAGGAAAATCAACCCCATTAAATGTTAATAAGAAAGATACCAAACTACTACAATGAAAAAGAAAGAATGACTGAATTCTTAGACTGGTTTCAGTAAAATCTCAACATGAGACTGCTATATGCCAACCTGACAAAGTGATGAAAATTCAAGACTTAATCCACAAATTATTTTATAGAAAAGAATGCTAATTTTTTCACTGTATACTCTGAAAATTTTGAGACCATGTTTAACAAACTTACATTTTTGTCTTTCAGCCAGGGGTCCCCTGCAGCAGGCCGACAACCCACAGGATATCTCCTTAAAATCTATGTGATTGTCACGATTTTCATCAAAAGCATTAAACAAACCTATAAAATAGGAAGACACCATAAACCACAGTGACCAAACTTCCTAATATTATAATGGCATGTTTATAAAAGGAGAAAACATCTCACTGATGTTTCTATCTCTCCCTCTCCCTAAAAAAAAAAAAAAAAATTATTAAAAAAAAATAAAATAAAAGGAGGCAAGAGTCCCATAAACTGGCCAATTTTTTGAAAAATGTTTTTATTGATTTTAGAGAGAGTGGAAGGGAGAGGGAAACATCACTGGCTGTCTCTTGCATGCCTCCTACTAGGGATTGAGTTTTAACCCAGGAATGTGCCCTGACCAGAAACTGAACCACTGACCTCTTGGTGCATGGGAAGACTCTCAACCAACTAAGACACACCAGCCAGGGAATGATCAATTTTTTAAAAAGAATATTTTATTAGTAGTCCCCATTACCTCAGAAAACACTTTCTTGTGGTATAATTATAACTAAAACTTAAGATCCTAGCAGAAAATACATTATTATCACTTGGTGTTTGCTTATGTATGCCTCTCTCCATCTTACATCAATTTTTTTTTCTTTATTGATTTTTAGAGAGAGAAAAAGGGAGAGGGAGAGAGATAGAAACACTGATGAAAAAAAACATCGATTGGCTGCCTCCTGCATGCCACTCATTGGGATCTGGCCCACAACCTGGGCATGTACCCTGACCGGGAATCAAACCAGTGACTTCTTAGTGCATGGGTCGACGCTCAACCACTGAGTCATACCAGCCAAGCTTATATCAATTTTAACAGCTAAAAATGACTATAGGATGCAAAAAAAAAAAAAAAAATCAATTAACAAATTAAAAATCCACCCCAAATCAGAAATTATTTAGAAAAATTGAGAAGAAAAAAAGGAGAAAAGTTTAACTATATTCTCAAAGATGTAACATGCTGTTATTAATAAGCTCCTATAAAGCTCTTGCATGAAGCAAAGAAAAATAACACACTATATTACAAGAAAAGAAAATTCTGTACTGTGGTCTTCTTTGTACTACTTAATCTTTTATAAATGGATACACACACACACACACACACACATTGTTGTTAATTCTCACCCATGGATACCTTTCCATTGATATTTTTAGATAGAGTGGAAGGGAGGGTGGGAAAGAGAGAGAGAGAGAAAAACATCAATGTGAAAGGGACACATCGATTGGCTGCCTCCCATACGAATCCCACTGGGGTCAGGGACTGAACCTGCAACCCAAGTAACATGCCCTTGACCAGGAATCAAACCTGTGACCCTTTGGTCCACAGGTCAACACTCTAAGGGCTGAGCCAAACTGGCAAGGACTATAAATCAATATTTTAAATTTCAGAAAGAAAAGGGATGCACAATCCAATCCTGTGTTATTCAAACATTTTATAAAAAATAGAAATCAAATAATTTTGTTTTAAAATGAAATGGTTTATCAATCTGCAATTCTAAAAAGGTAAAAACAGCTGCACTATTTAAGTAAGTGAAAGCCCAGGGCCTTATCTGTTCTAGCTCCCCTAACAAGTACTTAAATACCCTAGGAAAGTTAAGAATACAGATTATATATTCTAAGAATCTAATCCCATGCCCTCAATTTAAAGAGTAGAAAACTAAAACTCAGAAGGGGGTTGCCAAAAGAAAAGATTAAAAAGGTCAGTACAAGAAGCAGAACCCAAATATTCAGATTCCAAATATTTTTTTTTGTAATATCACCCACGATTACTCTTTGTATTTCTAATTTTTTTAAAAAGTAATGGCAATGAAACGTTTAGAGCTGGCACGGACCTCACAGATGGTCCAGTCCAGTGGTTTCTTAATTTTGGGGGAGTGGGAGTAGGGGAGAGGGTACAGCAGTGGAAACTTCTTATATAAAAGAAAAAAAGTAGAGGCACTCAAGTGAGGAAGAGATGGGGTTATGTGTAAAAACCCCGAGCTTGCCCATTCAGTGGCCACCATCCTAATGCCTGTACTAGCTGCTGTGGCACCTCATTGGAGTACAGCTTCAAAACCACTGACTTGGTCAAACTTATTTTATATATTAAGATATTCAGGTGAAGAACTAATTAAGCTAAACTAATTTATTCAAGGTCACATAGGTAGAACAGTATGCTCAAAACTACAATCTTAATTTCCATTTTAGTTTTTTTTCCACTAAACTCTACTATTTGCAAGAAACCTGTAACATTATGGCCTTTTAGAGTTAAAATGTATTGGTTAGAAATAAGTGATGGGCTCAGGTCAGTTTACCAAAAAACATTCATAGAAAATAGAATGATTCCTACCTTCACTTAGAGATGGACGAATAGGTGGTGAAACCAATGGGCCAAATGTCTCTAAATCAAATCGTCCAGTCCGGGATTGAGCCTTCAGCAACCAATAACGTTTCTCCAGATCAATGATGTCTGATTCTTCCACTAAGAGTCACATCAAACAAGATTATAAAACCTCTCAGCCTTCTCTTCTGGGCAGTTAGTTTATCTTAATAATATAACTTCCAATGATATATTTAATTTCCCAATTTAATTGCTAAAAATAAGCATTACTTAAAACAAAATTCTGAAACACAAATATATTATATCTAAAATGGCATAAAATAAAAAATTATTTTTGCAATTTCCCATTCAGTAGATTGCTTAAATCCAACATGTAGAACAGCTGAGATATTTCTTTTTGGCTGCCCACACCACTTTTATTGGTACTTATTTTTTATAATTTTCAATCCTATTTCAGGTTTAAAGATTCTACATACATATTCTCTCCTTGTTATACTGTAAACATTCTAAGAGCAGAATCCATGTCTGATTCATCCTGTCATTATGGTTACTACTTACAAACTCAACACTGATTAAGTAAATGAAAAAGGATATGATAAAAACATATCATAAGTAACAAATTCAATAAATATAGATGAGTTAGAGTAGGGTTTATGATGTGACAGGTAACAGGGACATCATGAAAACATAAACATTTTTCTTTCCTCAGTCATCAGAAGGTATATTTTTTAAAAACCATAGATAAGCTCTAACCATGGTTATATTTTATATGTGCTTTCCACCCCCCTTCAAGGTACTAAAGTATTTCTGATTAACTGGTGTTTACATAATACACCAAATTAGAACACAAGAATATCACACCAATTGCACCCCAAATTTTTTAACTTTGAAGACTAAGTTTATTAATCTCCTTAAAAAACACAATTTCTTTACTGAAGTACAAATGTGGAAAGACAAGTAGAACATATTTACAGAAAAAAAAAATGATCAGATTGGTCATAATTACCAATTAAAACCATGCTTTAGAGCTCCTTTTTAAATTCATGTGAACTGTTCACTTTTGGGTTACACACTGCAATTCATTATTTAAATATTTGCAAAAAACAAGCTATAGTAAATTATATGTATTATATTATTATTACTCAAACATTTTGAATGAATTGACAGCTGAACTTCTAAGAGGAAAAGCAGCTAACCTTATTTTCACTTAAAGAAGAAAGAGGTAATAAATAATTGTAGTAGTTGCTTTATTTGCAATTCATAAACCAATACCCAAAACTTATAGTTTATAAGCTAAATAGAAATTAATTTATTACCCACCTATAAGTATAATTTTTTCTGGTTCACAATAAAAGCATACAATATTCCCAACATTCTAAATAGTTCCTGGCCTGCACTTTGGACCATCCTAATCAAGTCCCACCTTACCAGAGGCTTCAGCTGAAGAAATAGCTCTTTAATGCTAGAATTTGATTCTAATTTTTAAATAAAGCCAGGCAAAATATCCAAGTGTTTTCTAACAGTCACACAGTTCTTCAACATTTTTGAGGAAGCAACCTTCTCAAAAGCAGTGACCTTCAGAGAGTACTTAAAATGGCTATAAGCCTTATACCATTTACAATCAGATTAAGAGGATAAGAAAGCAGGAACATGCAGATCTACTAGGGTTTATGATCTAAGAATCACTAAAGTACTTTTTTCTTATTCAAAGGTTTTAACATTGCAAACTGAAATGTGGCAAGGGAATACAATAATATACATATTTTTAGTTGAGATAATAAACAGCTAAAGTAGAGGCAATATAAATCTGAATTAGATATGAAAAGAAAAATAATCAAAATGAGTTATATGGCCCTAAATTAGCCAAAATCACTACATTAATTACCTCAGAATCCATATTCTATTACTAAAAGAAACCATCAGGTAAGCAGGCTTATTCACTCTTAGGATACATTTTAGGGAAACTCCAAAAACTCTTTCTTAGTATATAGCTAAATTCTATGAAAAATATAAAATCAACTTTAAAGAAAATTAACTCTCAGTTATTAAAACACAGTTCTTAAAAATCATAGTTACTCTATTATCTATTTCACTGTAGGTAAATGGCCTATCATTTAATGATCTTTCCTGGATCAAATGAAATTAATTATTGAAGAGAAATAAAAAATAATCATTTGTAAGTATCCCAAGGGAAAAAGAAGGAAATTGGAAAAGTGAACCTGCAAGATTCTCTGCAATCTGAAGAAGATGGCTCACCCACCACAACTGCCACATAACCAACTACTTTTATCTGCTACTCATAAAAGATTAAAGAATAAAATGACTGTGTGTCAATAAACTGTGTTCAAGTCCTAAAATGATAATAAGCATGCACTCCGGGATTCAAACATCATAACTTTGGCACCTATTAGTCATTTGATCTTGAGAAAGTTTCTTTAACTTATTGTCTTGGTTTACCTATTTTTAGAATGTAGAGTAAATGAACCTCAGAGATGGCACGAAGATTAAATGAGATAATGTACACAGAGTATAGTGCCTCCTCTAGAAAGTACCCAATCTGCATGTGGTAAATTGGAACAGTCCACAGAGCAAAGTATGGGGGGTGGGTATTCAGGAGCTATAGCAAAGATAATTTAATGTTCTGCAAATATATATTCATAAAAGCATATTAATATTATGTGCCCGACAAAAACTATAGATATGACTGCAAACAAAACAACTGTTTAGATTCTAGTATAAGTGAAAATTGGCCATTTTAATCTAATGTGGAAAGTACAATGAGAGAACAGACACAGAGTTTTCAGGGAGCACATAGGCAGCTAGGCCCTGGAGGTCTTGCAGAGGCAAAGAGCATGTATAAAAAGTCTGTAGTGACACCTGCCTGGGACTGTGTTGGGGATGCGCCAGGCTTGCAGGATGGAGTCCGGGGTGCAGCTTTCTGGGTGAAGTTCCTCGGAGGACAAGAGCCCACCTTCCGTGCACAGACGGCCATCCTCAGGGACAGTCCCAAAGCACAGCACCCCTAAGGAAGGCTTCCTTCATGGTCACAGCAGCCCCCTGGGCCGTGTCCCCTACCGCCAGGGAGGGGGCCCAGCTGAGGGGTCCCCACTGCCTGCCTGCTCTTCCTGGGACCTGCCATCCCCCGTCAGAAAGAGGCGGCTTTCCACCATCCGGGCCTCAGAGGAGCCCAGTGTGCAGCCAGGGTCTGACGCAGAGCCCTGGGCTCCTGGGGAAGAGCCACCTGCGCCAGCTGAGATCACCCAGCAGAAGCGGCGGCAGCTGCGGCAATTGCAAAGGCGCGGCAGGGAGAGTCCCCAGGGAGCTAGACAGGGAACAAGGGGTTGCCTAGGATCCCAAACACTGCTGGACAGAGGTCCTGAGACCTGAAGATGCTGGCGGCTGTGACAGAACGTGTGAGGCAGCGGGGAGGCCTGCCAGCTCCAGAGTATCGATAAGGCCACACAGCAGGACCTCACCGTGCAGGATGAGTGACCTTGAGGGACCAGGGAGCAGAGGTGTGAGGAGCCTGCTTTGGCCTGACTCTCATCCAGCTGCCCTGTTCATCTGTCCATTCCTCCATCCAGCTGCCCTATTCATCTGTCCATCCGTCTATCCAGTTGCCCTGTTCATCTGTCCATCCCTCCATCCAGCTGCCCTATTCGTCTGTCCATCCCTCCATCCAGCTGCTATTCGTCTGTCCATCCATCTTTCCAGCTGCCCTGTTCATCTGTCCATCCCTCCATCCAGCTGTCCTGTGCATCTGTCCATCCCTCCATCCAGCTGCCCTGTGCATCTGTCCATCCTTCCATCTAGCTGCCTGGAAGCCCCTCCCTCCTCAGGACTTGCTGCAGGCCAACCTTGCTGCCGGCCTCCCTCGTTGTGGGTGGGGTGGGGGACTGTTGATAAAGTTTGTTTTTTTTTTATCCTCACCTGAGGACATTTTTCTATTTTTTGTTCAGGTAGAGTGGGAGGGGGAGAGAGGAAGAGAGAGAGAAACATCGATGTGAAAGAAACACATCGAGTGGCTGCCACCTGCATGACCAACCAGGGCCGGGGACAAACTGCAACCGAGGTACATGCCCTTAGCGGGAACGAACCTGGGTCTCTCAGGACCGCAGGCCAACGCTCTAACCGCTGAGCCAAACCGGCCAGGGCGATAAAGTTTTTTTAAAAAGTCTGTAGGCAAGACAGGTAGTAACAGCACAGAAAAACAAAACAAAACAAAAAAACAACTGCTGTGTTCTGTTATAATTAAAAAACAAGAATAACTTATACAAGGACCAGTACTATGTACCCAAGATAACAGACAAAAAAGAACTTTACTTTTCAGGAAGTGACAAAAATAAAGTGTTAAAGATGACAGGCAGTTTGACCTAGAACTAGCAGGCAGTTTGGACAGAATGTAGGCATTTCAAAGGTTAGCATCTAAAGCAGTGGTTCTCAACCTTCCTAATGCCGTGATCCTTTAATACAGTTCCTCATGTTGTGGTGACCCCCAACCATAAAATTATTTTTGTTGCTACTTCATAACTGTAATTTTGCTGCTGTTATGTCTTAGGCAACTCCTATGAAAGGGTCGTTCGACCCCCAAAGGGGTTGCGACGCAAAGGTTGAGAACCGCTGATAAAGATGAGCCATCAAATTCAAGCAGAGAGCTGCCAGACTGAATTTGGCTAGGACTGTGCATGTTCAATAGTAGGGGATGGCCCGACCGGTGTGGCTCAGTGGTTGAGCATCGACCCATGCACCAAGAAGTCGCCAGTTTGATTCCTGGTCAGGGCACATGCCCAGGTTGTGAGCCCAATCCCCAGTGGTGGCATGCAGGAGGCAGCCGATCAATGTTCTCTCTCTTCAATGTTTCCATCTCTCTCTCCCTCTCCCTTCCTCTCTCCCTAAAGTCAATAAAGAAAAAAGAAATGTTTTTTTAATAGTAGGAGATGGATACACTGATCTAAACATGTAAAATGAGTTACATTTTGAGTTTATACTCTGTGTCTCCAAACTTCAACAACTATGTGGAGCTAAATGGATGGAGAAAGGTTATTTCAAAAAAAAGCCAAAAGACTAGGGTTTGGTCTTAGACTCGTCTCTCAGATATCAATAAAAGAGAATGTAATAACAACTGCACCAACCTACTTCAA